CTGAGTCTATCGATTACATAATATACAACACATCCTTCTTTATATATAATACAGATTTTTGCTATAAAACTAGATTAATACAAAAACTTACCTTGCACATTACATAAGAGAATTCTACGAATCGAAGAAATATGAAAAAAGAACTTTTTGCCTACAAATATAATACCAATTGAGCCATGCCACTAAGTGGCATATGCCAAAAAGAAGACATAAAGAGTGAAAGCCTTATCTATTCTTAGCTAGCATTAGGGAATATTAACGAATGACAGCTGTCACTCAACGAAAGTGACAACACAAAGCTAATGCAGCGAATTAACACTTTCAAAGTCAAAATAGATTTAAGAAAAAAAGAGTAAAAAAAATAAACGAGATGGAAAACGGATATAGAGAGTAAGAGAGAACCACACAGAAAATTAACGCTAGAGAAAAATACACCAAATACACAAAAAAGAAGATGGGGAAAAGTAAGGTTATTTTTTAAATCCTATTACTTGCTTATCAAACGTCAGCTGCCTGGGGTGAAAGAAAAGTTTATGAATGCTGTTAATGTTGTAAGGCTGCAATGGCATAATCTTCCCTTAACTACTATAAGCTGAAATATTTAGAAATACAGAGCACAAAACGGTTCAATTTGAATTTTATATTTTTTTATTGTCAGCGATTTTTAGAGTGAGAAAAATAACTTAGGAGTAGGTGTACGGTTAAATACATACAAATATACAAAATAACATAATAATAATTAGAATAGTGGGAGATTGTTGTTGTTGTTGTATTCTTGGTGGTGGTGGTGGGAGCTGCTGGTCGTCTCGAAATAACGGTAATACATACTATATTATAAGAGGACATACAAAATTCATTTACATAAGTATTTTTTTTATTGTTCTACTACTATTTCTTGCTGTTTTTGTAATTATGGAAGTATGTATAAAAATACGGAAAGTGCAAAAGAACTTGCCTGACACATTATCCGACTTGCAGAAATATATGCAAATAAACATTATCTATAGTTGTAAAGTTATATAAATATTCAGTTGATTTGTTGTTTCTTATGACAGCATACATACACATACATACATATACATATATTTACCACATACATAGTTGCGGTCTAGCCGCTGGGCTGTCATTGTGCATGTCGCCATTACATACACATTTATACGCTTTATTTCATTTGTTTTTTGTATTTTCATTTTATTTTCACATATATATTTTTTTTATATTTCCTTGCAGTTTAACAAGATAATATGCTAATGCGGTTTAGGAGGTTTATGGGGCTATCAAATGAAATTAATTTATTTCGATATAAGTGTATGTATTTAGTGTATAAAAAAAACGCAACGTTTGTAAATAATAATTAACTTATTTCTTTGTTTAATAACAATTATAAAAATCATTTGCATTTTGTGGACGATAGTGTGCTCAATGCAAACTCACGTATACAATTTGACATTCTTTAAGTATTTGGTCGGGTGTCCGTTATTTGCCCAAGTTGATTGTGTTTTTACACCCGCTGAAGTTTCAGTTATTGCCGTAAAAAACATTATGCAACGTAAACAATTTTTTTTATTTTCAATTGCCTTAAATACAAATTATTTTTCCATCTTTATATTTGTGGGATCTTTTTTTTTATTTTGCATAATATATAACATAACATTCTAATACAAAATTTTTCGCTCTACAAAAAAAGTTCTTAATAATTGTTTCCATTAAAGGATGTTTGTAAAAGTTATACGCTGTTAAAGTTATGCATGAAATGTACTGAGCATTCATATGACTGCCTTACAAATGTTGCTCATACGCCATGGTGTGCAGTATATGCAAATCAATTTGGGAAATAACGCACACCCTAGTATTTAGCTACAATATTTTTATTATTACTTGTTATTATTTTGTATTTTTTTATAACTAGCACTTACGTTAGATACAAATATATGCACTTGCATGCAATTTCTCTTACTTTTTTTTTTTTTTCCACACGCACTTACACACCTTTTAATGCTAACTTTTTTATTTTTATGCTAACCACTTTTATTTATATGCTCTTTTTTGTATATTTTTAGTAAATTATACACTATACATACATATATCTATATTTATTTAAATTTGTTTATGTATTAAAAGCTCCTTAAATTTTTTTTCTCAGTTGTATTAAAAATATTAAAGCATATTAAGTTAAGAGATTAAAATAAATCTATTAAAATTATATAAGTTGTGTAGATCTACGTAAGTAAAATCGCATTATAAAATACATATACACATGTACATATTTGTCTATATTTAAAAATATATAAAAATAAGCATACACTCATTACGCGGCTGTTCAATATTTACAATACAAGGCAGCGCAAACGATATTTCATTTTTAATTGAAAAGTAAATTGATTTAAATTTATGGAAATTTCGAAAGCTTAAATAAGAATACCTAGCATTAAGCATAATTTATGCATTAAAAAGTCAGCTAAAATACTTAAATTTGCATAACAGTCGCTAGCGTAAACCAATACAGCTACAAATATATATGTAGATATTCATACGAATATATGCAGTCATAAATGCATTGGCGCTCTTAGCTGCTTTGTTTGATGGAAATGCACAGATTATTAAAAATAATAATAATATTAAATTAATAAAAATACTAAACTTTTTTGCATTGGTAAAAAAATATGGCTGTGTTTTAAAGGGCACAACTAGTGTGAAATTTTGTAACGTATCAACCTTAAAAAATAACATACTAAAATATTATATCGATATCTCGAATAGTTTTTAAGTTACAGCCTTCTAAAGTGTAGCCGCTCAATTCAATCAGGTCCATCAATTTATCTTTAAACGCGTTTTTCTCAAAACAGCTTTTTTTGTGTTTGCTGCAGAGATTACACGGTGCTAAAAGATTCGACCCCGTTCAAACTTTTTTTTCATCTTCTGCATAAATCGTTCTCCATACAATAACACAACAGTGTGAATTTTGGCAGGCCAAAAAGGAACAAAATATTGGGTGAAATTCAACTCAGAAAACGCCGCCATATTGTCAATTCTTAGTTTTTTTCTACCATAGGTATTACAATATGGGTAATATCTTCTAGTGCGAATTTTGTTTTACTGCAGCAGTGGAGAACCATTTTTGGCACTGTTGAAGATCGCAATTAAGTCAAAAAATGTCTTTATTCTTCAAACATTTGACTGTGTACTCTTAAAATATGTATCAATGTACCCATACAATTTTAAAGCGATTGTTACAGTAGTTTTTTTTTATTCCCAAAAATCGCCTTTTTTAGGCTGGCACACTAGGTGTGCCCTTTAAGATATTTAAAGTACTTCAAAAGAGGCGGTTAATTTGGAGAATTATATTTCAATCTGGTTTTTTTTTTAATTAGTTTTTTTGTGCAATTTATAAATTTTTTGTGAAAATCTCGAAAAATAAATAAATAAATAATTAAAAAAATGTATATTAAATTAATTTTAATAGTTATTTATTTTTTCTAATATAATTGAAAACAATTCAATTTATTCTGATTAAGTTATGATTTAATTTTAAAATTAAGGTATTCTTTTATTTTATATAATTTTATTGTATAACCTTTTTATTTAATTTTTGACCATTATAGTTTTTAAAATTAATTTAAATTTTCTTTTATTTATAAGTTAAAAATATATTTCTTATACAAAATTTTATTTAAATAATTTTTTTTTTCTTATATTTCGTTATCATTTTTAAAAGAAGTAATAAGGTCAACTTCAGTAAATTCATATCACAATATTGGGTTCCTTCAGTATCTTATGGTTTATAACAAAACAAACCCGCAGAATTATTGATGTGCTTTTTAACATATTTAAGTACAGTAAAACCCGCTCAAAAGCCTCAGTAAAAATCCCAGCTTTGTGTGATACACAGGCGGGTTGGGAACTTAAAAGAGCCCGCTTAAGTCCTTAGATGCGAGTAACAAAGCGAAAATGTTGGAAATTTAAGCGGGTTCGGTACTTAACCGGTTTTTACTGTAAATTTAAATTGCATTATCGATTTGAGCTGAAATAACTAGTAAAGAATTTAGGGTATGAGCTTTTTTTGGATTATTTACAAATACTGATTGAATAATATTTTTAGTATAAAAAAAATTTAGTTTTAGGGTATTGTACCTAATACAATTTTATTTTATTTTGTTTATTTTTTTTGTTACTTTATTTTATTTTATTTTTTGTTTAATTTTATTATATTTAGTTTTTATTAACTATTTTTTTTATTTTTACTTAACTTTTACTTTATTTTATTTTATTTTATATTATTTTTTTTTATATTATTTTTTTATTTTACCTTATTTTATTTTTTTAAATTTTATTTATTGTTTTCATTTTGAATATAACAAAACTTAATTTACAAAAAAAATGTATTTTATTTTTTATTACTTTATTTCATTTTTATTTGCATTATTTTTTTTTTTATATTTTTATTTTTATTATTCTTGCTTTATTTATTGTTTTTTTTTACTTCTCTTTAAATAAATATTTCTATACAACAAAATTTTATTTTATTTTGGTAATATGTAATTAAATTTTTCATTTTCCAATTCTATTTTGAGTTATTATTGAAATATATATATATTGCTTTATATTTTAATTTTATTTTATTTATAATTTTTTACACTTTCATTACAATAATTTAAATTTATTCTAATAGAATTAAGTTATATAAAGCATGATTTTTTTATTTTGAATTATTTTTATTTTTTTTTACTTAATTTTAAGTAAATTTTGTTTTGATTGTCCACCCTTTGCTATTATATTTTTAATTTAATTTTAAGTTAATATTTTTCAGGCATTTTTTTGAATAATTTTCTTTAATAATTTTTTGAGCTTATTTACCTGCTGTATTAAAAAATAATACATTTGCATATTTTAACCAAAACTTCAATTAAACTGCCATTCTGCTAATCACCATTACCACCAAACAAAGCCTTTTTCATGCGCGACAAAAAAATAAAAACAAAAATAGAAATAAAAAAGTGAAATTTAAAAGTTGGCTACTTATTTTATATTTATTGGTAGGTTTGTTTGTTAGTCGGTCGGTTTGTCGCCTCTACAGTTACTTATGTATATAAACAGTTAGTTAGTTGGGCATTTCAACGCAGGTTGGTCAATTAAAATTCGTGCCGCCGTCACAGCTAATCCCTTTCACAACAGTTACGTTAACATTTCCGCTACATTTTGCTAAGCCACCCTTTTCAGTACAATGGAAAACAACAAAAACAAACGCACACACACACACAGACGCACAAAGTGGAATTTCACTTTGGCATCTTGTTTTAAATTAATTTGTTTTTATGCACGTCTTCCACACTTCACAACACTTTTTCGCCATTCTTTCATACAGCACACGTTTACATTTTATAATTACTTCTTTTTCTGCTTTTTTTTATAATTTTTGTTTGTGTTTTTTTGTAGTGTTTGATTTTTTTCTGCTTTCTGCTGTCATTCCGCAGCTATTATGGCAGCAAACCATTCAATTGAAAGTTGCGTTTATTTCTCACTTATTGTAAACTGCCGTCGTCGTAGTCGTCGTGGACTTCTGCTTCCGCTGCGCGTTTTCCACTTTCCACTCAATGGGATTGTCACCGTAGTCATTGTCATTGTCAGAGTGAATGCGACTGCGTTGGCCGCGGATCAACACCTCAGTGCACTTCAGTTCATTTTAGTTCAGCGCCATTCAGCTTAGTTCAATGCGAGTTACAATTTTAAAAGTGTAGGTATGTGTGTATATATATAACTTTTTAGGTCTATTGGAATATATATAAATATATATGTGTGTGTGTGTGGATGTTTTAGTGTGTGTCACAGCGGATTTGTGTGCTCTTTCAAAAGCCTGTTCAATGATTGCGACGCAAACGACGCCGATAACTCGAACGACGTGGCAGCACTATCCGTTGTCGGTGGTACTGTTGCTGCTGCTGCTGCGGCTTGTTTTGTTGTTGTTGGTTTTGCTGTTGTTGTTTTTGGGAAGGCTGTGCGATGTCGCCAAATGGCTGATATCATGTGCGTGTATCTGCATTTGTGTCTGTGTCTGTGCCTGTGCCTGTATCTGTGTCTGTGTCGGTATCTGTGTCTGTATCTGTGTCGGTATCTGTGTCTGTGTTGACATTGTTGTTGTTGTGATGCGCGCCTTTCGCCGCTCGCTGCGCATTCATACTTTTGCCGTTGTTCAACGGCTTCACCCACACAAGGTTGCCATCGTGCCGCTGCGGCGATGGGTTGTCATTTCTATTAATATTGTTGTTGGTATTAGTGTTGGTGTAAGTGTTGTCATCCTCATAGTCCATTACCGCTTGGTTGGTATTATCATTTCTGTTATTATTCTCATTGTTGTTGTTGTTGTTGTTACTGTTCGTGCTTATGTAGCGTCGTCGTTGACTGTTGATGTTGTTGTTGTTGTTTCTATCGTCCACCTCCTGCGATTTGGGCTCCTTGGGTATTTGATGCTCGACCAGATGCAGCTCGTTTCTCGCTTTATTTTCCCATAGTTGCTGGTTGGCCTTTACCTAATTGTTGTTGCAGTTGTTGTTGTTATATTATGGACGAGTTTTGTTGTTGTTGTTGTTGTTGTTGGTTTTTTCATGCAGCACAGGGAATAAAAAAATTTATGTGAAAATCCAAATCAATATGAATATCGCTAAATGATAGCAAATTGAAAGCAAACAAAGCCAAAGGAAAAACCAAAACCAAAGAAAGTAACACAGAAAGAACACCGAAAACCCAAAACCAAAATAATTTATATGATTTTTTCAAAAGTATTAGTGAATTGTTAGTCAAAGTACGAATGATAGGACATGCGATTAGGCAGCGAGCACAAAGTGCGTCGAGACACCTCTTAAGTTATGCTGGTCACACACCCACAAACATATATATATTATAAAAATACATATATACATATATCAGTATATACACACGTAAATGCTTCATAGCTTATGCAAAGTTCAAAAGGATAAACCGTTATATAAATATATGCATAAGTGATCAGCTATTATGTGCGCATGTATGTGTGTATTGAGCAGCGTATGATTGTGAATCTTTGTTTGTATGTATGTACACATGCGAATAGGTGTATAGGTATGAGCGTGATTGAATTGGTTAAATAAAAAGTTAGCAACAATAAGTGTGCAGCACATTTACACACGCCTGCGTTTCGTGGCTAGCGAACTGTACCCCTCCACCAACAACCACTTGTGGGCCGGTAGGTGGGCGGCAACGCACAATTAATCCCTAAAACATATACATAACATACATATGCGCTTGTGTGTGTGTGAACAGGCAAATTGAAAACACAGACGGCAAATTACTCCACACTAATGTGTACTCATTTGCCTTTAGCATTAGACTCACTAACACATGAGCGTATAACACTCACACACGCTAAAGATATTCCGACAAACTCTTCTGCTACAATATAACATAGAATCTATACAATAAACTTCGAAGCTAAGTGAGTTGGAAAGCACCCAAAGTCGAATTTTATTGCTAAGAGATTAATTAAAGCAACACACGGAGGTATGTACACACAAACGACGGCATATGTATGTATGCGTGTAGGTAAATTTTCAATGAAATTAGTGAATAGAAATTTTAATAAAACATGCTAACCAAAAATTTAAATCAGATAAGTACAAAAACAATAAGAAATTTATAATAGACAAACAATGAAAAAAAGTAAGTAAGCAAGGTGGAACTAAGTTCGAAAGAAACCAAATATTAAACAAAAAAATGTTAACTTCGACTGAATCGAGTGCTACACCGCTATAACACCATTCACAAGTGAGTTTTTTATAACAGGAAAAGTGATCAGTCTGTTTGAACGGTGGTTATATATTAAAGTGGTCTGATCTGAAGAATATGTTTGGAGTTTGTAGCACTGCCTTGGAAAATAATCCATGCCGAAATTTCGTCAAATAAAAAAGTTCCCATAAAAAATTGATTTTGATCGATCAGTTTGTATAGCAGCTATATGATATAGTGGTCCGATATCGACGGTTCCGACAAATGAGAAGCTTCTTGGGGAGAAAAAGATTTGTGCAAAATTTTAGATAGATATATCAAAACGGCTAGACGAACAGACAGACAGCATGACTAAATCGGCTCAACTCGTCACGCTAATCATTTATATAAATATAATATATACTATGTAGGAAGTTTCCAAAGTTTCCTTCTGGGTGTTACAAACTTTATGGCAAACTTTGCCAAATAATTTTCCAATACAGGTACAGGATTAAAAGATATTTAAATAATAATGGGTGATAAAGAAATAAAATTTTGCTAACTACCCACTAAATTATTAAACTATATTGCTTAATATACGAAATATAGTCTATCTTAGATAGGTATATTCATAATTTTGCTGTTGGGAGAAGGACTAAAGCAATAACACTCAATTTGGGTATTTTATTGAGACAGCAGGGACTCCTATCTGGCCATGTAAAAAATGCAGCCAACCAAATTGGTAGAAATGATTTTACTGGGTTCTTGCATTCCAGCAGAATATCTACATTATGCCAAAGAAAACAAACCAACATAATTTCATTACGACTTTTTATTAATTGACCAATACTTGCGCTAAAAAGTTTAGCATAGGGCTAGGGAAATATATGTACCGGTTTCTACTACGTTTGGATCAGAGTCAGAAGCATTACTTGTGCGGGGCGTTTGATATGATGTTCTACACTAAATTTGAAATTGTAGTAGGGGTCAGCGCCGTTTGAGCCCCGGTGCTCAGGTTCCACTAATTTGCAAAGAGTGCTTTGTACAAAGTTTCAGTCAGATATCTCAATTTTTACTCAAGTTTGGTTTAAACGGAAAGACGAAGAAACAAACGGGCGGAGACCAATTAGTCTCGTCATCCTGATCGTTTTGACATATGTATATAAACCCTGTATCTTGTTTTAGGTGTTACAAACAACGGTAGGTGAACCAGACCGTTTTACAACTCGGTGTAACATTTTGTTAAGTTAAACATGGAAACGTTCAAAAATAAAAATTTTTATTAAATATAACAAATTCAGAGAAACAGTTTTAGTAAATAAAAAAGTAATAATCCATTTAATAACACCACATTAAAAGACTTAAAACATAAAATCGAAAAATAATTATTAAATTAAAAAGCCGAGAGAGGACAAAACACATTGTTGTATAGAAAAACAACACATCAAATTAAAATAAAAGTGTTAAAAAAAGATTCAAGAAAATTAATAAAACTGATAGAAAAGACAATTAAATAGGCGATCTTTAAATAAAATAGCAAATAAGAAACACTTGAAAAAAGTCAAATTTACTGTGAAAAATTAAAAAGTAATCAATTAGTTAAAAGAAAAGTTTTTTGTTGAATAGATATATTTTTTAACGGCTAGAGTAAGACACAGCGCTAAGTGGAAAGAATATAAAAAAAACATGATTTTAAAGTAATAAAAATATGAATAAAATAAAACGAATATTAGCAGAATGCTAGATGCTAACACTATTATGTATAGGTATTTATACGTGGTGCCACTCCCCTTTCTCAACACATGCATATGTAAGTATGCTCTAACGAAATTTTTGCACTATTTGATACTCATATTGGTTGAAGATTTAATATATTATTTTTGAAAGTTTTAAAGAATGCCGTTATTTGGATATAAGAATCATCAATACAGTAATAAAAAAATTAATTATATGTGGTTGTAGCGTTGTGTATTGTGGCAGAGTAAGTCTATAAGAGAGGAAAAGGAAGTAAGGAAAGTAGGTAGTAGTTTCCATAGTGTCAAAACCATAATTTTAACATACTCGACCGAGGCAACTCAAGTTTTTCGTATGCTTTTTGAAATAGTTATATACTCAACATTGCAATACTGTTTTTTTTTTGTTTTTGTAATTGCAGTTTCTAGAAGGACGAAACTTTCTTCTATTAAAATAAATAATTAGTCGGTCTAATTTATTTATGAGGAATTTCTAAACTACAAATATACCTACATATGTATATGTACTGCCTTTTTAATGGCATTATTACGTCTAATTCCGTGAAGCTAATAATTGTTTATGGTTAACCAAAGATTTTCAAAAAATCTAAAAATTATTTTTGGCATTAATTACAGTTCAGGGTTCTCAAACATTAATCAACTGATAGAATAGTGAGAATATCCTTCCCTATCCCTACTCTACCCTCTAGTTCCATTTTATATCAAAACGTGAATAATTTTTTGATCTTCCACATATAGTTTAATAAAGCCCGAGTAAAGGAGAAAAGGACTTTAATTCTATTTTTCTTATACTCGGAATAAATTATCAACATAAGGCCTTTTTAGGACTATAAACTGGCTTTTATTAAAACAAAACGATATTTGCATCACGGTACGTATTGGTGACCCATTTAGTGAGATGTTAACTTACACACCTCCTTACTTACAATATATACATGAAAATTTTGATTCCTGTAGTGTTTATACTATCTTAGATGACACCGCAAGTAAGCAACCGAACTAAAGCCACAACTACGAACGATATAATTGATCAAATCAAGCTAAGACAAAACCCTGACAGATATTTTACTGTACGCCTTTTCCAGCCACGAACAGACACATAAATATTTAATGAGTGTGTGTGTGTAAAATTTTCGATTAACTCGAGCTGCCGCTAAGTATCAGCCTATAGAAAGCGTCTTTACCATATATGCAAAATAATACTCCAATTAAACGAGTATGGCGAGAGTGAGAATGATTGTGTGATGAACATGTGACTTGATGTGTACGTGTTTGTGTGTGTGTGTGTGTGTGTGTGCGGAAAGGGGTGTGAGTTCATTTCCATGCAATAAATATATCGGGAATATATTAAAACAGCGCATAAGTGAAGTCTAGCATCAAAGATTTGAAAAATATAGCGCTCAGCACATCCTTACTTACACACACACACACAAACACAGCGACAAGTGTTTGCAACTGAAATTATTGTAGGTATGTTTGAATTTGTGAGCAATCAGTTATTCTTACTGGTTATTTATTTGAGGAATTACGGGTAGTTTAGTAAGTGTGCGGGTTGGTGTTTATGTGTAATTTTATTTAGAATATGTATATTCATATTTAATGGACTGGAAAGAAACCAAAAATATATGTAAGTATGCATTATATAGTACTATGTGAGTAAATAACTAAAGAATTAGGGAGTTTTGTGTGCAATTTGCAATCACGAATCACAAATAATAATAAATTGACAAATGGCAGAGCGAGCACGGAGACACCGCTGAACGCTGTCATTCAAATCACAGCTGAGCTGTCAGACAGTAGACAAGTCTATCAGCAAGTTCTCAAACTTGAAACGAACCATCAATTTTTTTTATTTTTATTTTTTCATTTTTTATTTTTTATTTTTTCATTTTTTATTTTTTATTTTTT